TATTATTATTATTATTATTATTATTATTATTATTATTATTATTATTATTATTATTATTATTATTACTTATTATTATTATTATTATTATTATTATTATTATTATTATTATTATTATTATTATTATTATTATTATTATTATTATTATTATTATTATTATTATTATTATTATTATTATTATTATTAATAATTATTATTATTATTAATTATTATTATTATTATTATCTATTATTATTATTATTATTATCATTATTATTATTATTATTATTATTATTTGAAATTCGTGTTGTCTCCTTTCATCACTATTGATTTTGCTGACATTTCAGTTAGCATTAATTAGCCTTCTAATTGCTTCTTCAGTTTTCTCTTCTCCACCCATTGCCTTTTTCTTTTAAGGAATTTTCATTTATGTTCACTCCTATGAATAACACAGCAGTGTCTTCTTTTCTTTTTACTTGAACAGATACACCAAATTATAGGTGACTACAGGTGGTTACAGATAGTTGTAAGAATTTCTCCTTTTTTTGTGAAAAAATGTTTTAGGGACAAGCCTTTTGTTAGGTGCCGAAATAGGTTAATCGGTCAGAGACACCTTTGTTCATTAAAGTGTCAAGATAAGATATCTTCAATTGGAAAATTACGGAATTATGCCAACAAGCCTTGAATAAAGTGTGTATTTCAATATGGGGTTAGTGTTTGAATATGTGGTTAGATGAGTATGTGCCTATATATATATATGCGTATGTGTCCATGTGTGCATGACCGTTCTTCGATGATTGGTCCATTATTTCGTCACTGGTCATTATTGTGATGTCTTATCGATGGCCACTAATCAATCGCTGATGATGTTGCTCTGGGACGTTAAATTTTTCAAATGGTTCACTCTCGGAAATTTCATTTTAAATTATGACCGAATAATCGATTGTTTCATTAATTTCTTGATTGTGTAAGGTGGCAATTTCTCTTTCACTCTCTTTGGAAACTTGTATTAAATTATAACCGTAGGCTGTACTGACAATGGATATCATCGAATAAATTTAAATTTAGCAGTTCTTTAAAGAATACCCTTTAAAATTTAATAATTCTTTAGAAAATATTCTTCAGAATTTAACAATGCTTTTAAAATGTTAGAATAGAAGTGAAGATGTGAGACATTTCGAAATGCATACTGTGAGATGAACGTTCCGTTTTTGAATCTAAACTGTTGCATGGTTAAATTCAACATTAAAAAATTTATGGAGGAAATATCTATTAGACAAGGTTATAGTAGTTCATTCTCCTTTTCTTTTTTCTAATGTAAACCTGTCGATGATTAGTAATATCAAACTTCAAGTGGTTTTTGGAAGATGGGACATAAAGAGAGGAAGTGTGACATGATAACTTACGTAACATGACAACTTACGTAACATGACGTGGTATTGATAAGCTAATTAGCCCAGTCTTCACATTTCCCGGTAACTTTTTCTTACAAGTGAAGTTGTGATATGAAATTTGTCTGTTATTATTTTGTACAATGTTCGTTCAATGATTTTCGGTTTACTGCAGGAATCGTATTGGATTTAAGTGATTTGGAAGATAAGTAAATGGATGAAACATCTGTCAGAAGTGAAAATGATTCTGTACTGGAATATTATCCGAAACTAGAACTTATTGATCGCAAATTGATCAAGCAATTAGTCGAGGATACTGTTGATTGGGCACATGTTAGTGTAATGTTTATTTATTAGTTAGTCTTTTCCTTTCAATATTTTTGTTCGTGCCACCTTTTGCGTATAATTTACACGTAACATGATATCATCTGTAAAAATAGGAACTAAGAATTAAAATTCATAAAATAAAAAGAAATTTAAATCTTACGATGTTCGTAAAATGGTTCGATTTCTCGATGCAGGCGCATGGTATGGTGATGAAGACAGAAACAGCTGCTGATCGTGGTGATATATGTCAAATAGCTCCCTGTACCCTCTTCCCCTCACCGTTTCCTTACAGCTTATTTCAGGAAGCTATGGATATTCAACAGGTATATTATTGTTTCTTATCCGAATTGGAAATATATTGTTGGAAATTTTTTTTTGGAAGTTTGCATCATTAAGTTTCGGTTTTCTTGAAAGCCCAGGATAAATGAGGAAAAAATAACCAGTAAGAGGATCGTTTGATAAAGAGTTACAGTTTTAGGTTGGTTAGCCTTTTGATTTCACATTTCTTTGCGGTGTATATACAATTCAATAACGTTGAGCTTTCACTTTACATTGTATTAACGGGTAGTCCATACTTTACCTATTACTATACATGCAAGATGAAAAATTAGGAAAGTTAGTCGTGTGGTTATCCCAAAATGGCTTTAATTTCTACTTGTACCATTCAGAGTCAGTTTAAGGCTACCATACCTTGTTTCTGAATTTTTTTTTAACTTGGAACCTTGCAGGCATTCAGTTTGCTCTATTTTCGAATATCTTGGGACTTCGACTTCTTGATCAAATCACATGCTGAAGTGGTGAAAACTGATGATTTTACAAAGTGAACTGCCCAGTTTTCTGCTTGCTTTTCTTTAAAATGCGAGGGAGTTTGGAAATTATCTCTTATGGATTTATTTTAACCTTTTTTTTAAAAATTCTCTATTCTCGGTATTTAAGCATAGATGTATCTGTTATCTTTTTTTTTTCTGAAATCTATCGACATTTGTAGGCATTTTGTGGAAATACTAAATGCAGTGCGCACCTCAGACTTTTGTCAAAGGAAGACGTTGATGATACAGAGAAATGATTATATGTGTCACGAAGATAATTATGGAAATCGTTCGCTAAAACAGGTCTATTCAGCTAAAGAATATTTAACGAATCTCGTGATTGTACTTATTTTTGATTTAAAATTAATCAGCAAAGCACGAATTATTAGTTGGGTTGCCGTTGATAATAATGGCCACAAATATTACTAAAAGAAGCTGTTATGAAAATATTGAACATCAGATTGAAGTGAACAATATAGCCGCAAGCATGGGCTCACTTGCCGAACGTGCTACTTGCGTGCATAGAAGAACATTGGAAACGTTGCAGCTTCCTAATAAAATTATTGAAAAGGCTATTCTGAATAATCACCCGACAGTTACAGTTGCAAAAGGGATCTGCGAAGCATGGTAAATTTTCTTTAATTTGTTGGATAAAGTTTGACTAAAGTCTTTTCCTGAGATTAAAAGTTCAGATCATCATCATTCTGTCCGGTCATCCACTTTTACTCATCTACACGTGATGTTATTATTGTAAGCTTGATGTAGCTCACGCATGCATAGCTGATAGTGAGAAGCTAGTTAAAATAATGCAAGTTGAAACAGCAATAATCTTCTCTTGTCATTTTATGGTTTCGAAATGATTCCATTCTTCCAAATATCTTTAGCAAATGGTCATATGGAATTTATTGCATTGTTTGGGTTGACTTACTTCAGGTATGATTACGGGGTACCAGAAGCAATCATATTATTTGTGGTTGAAGATGCTAATCAAAATCAAATTGATCAAAGGCATGTGGAGTACTGCATTGATGAACTCAGCAGTAGAAGTATAAGATGCTTACGGATCACATTAACTGACGGTGCAAAAAGGTGAATTGCAAATTTTACGTATTTTATAATGACAATTTCATTATTTTTTCAAATCCTCAACTGTTTGGAAATCAATAATTGAACAAAACAAAACGATGAAGTGGTATCACTGCTTCATTGGTATGAGATATTGTCGCTTTTTTGACGATTACTTAAGGATTATTTTCTTATTCTTCGATTACTTTAGTATACTGGTCTAAATTTCTTGGACTTCATATAGTTTTTTGTTATAGTTTTTCATTACTTTAAGAAATTCTTTGAGTTGAACGATAGGGAATTTACTGCATACTTATTAACATTTTCTTTTCTCTAGTGGGAGATTGCTTTGAAATTTCTATGATTTTTTTTTCAAGATTGAAAGTCAATGAAACTAATCATTATCTCGTGTTGGATAACATGTTGCGTGTAGCAGTTGTATATTTTCGAGCTGGTTACTCACCAAATAATTATCCGACGGAAGCAGAGTGGACCGCTCGTCGTATTATCGAATTATCCGATGCAGTGAAATGTCCCTGGATTGGTCTACAGTTGGCAAATACCAAAAAAATACAACAGGTAAAGTTCCACAACTATTCCCACTTTCTGGCTATACGCTTCCTTTGCTTTCTTTTTATAGGTTTTATCCGAAAATGGTGTTCTAGAGAGGTACATTACTGATGGTAGAATGAGTACGAGAATTCGGAAAACATTTGCTGGTATGTGGGGACTGGAAAATGATGATGACAGAACACAAAAGATAATTCAGGTAAGCGTTCCCAAAATTTTGTATTTCGGGCATAATGTGCCGTAGTTGCTTTGCCACGATTTCTGATAGCGTAATCTAGGATGTTCGCATTTGATTTGACGCTGAAGTTTCCTTTTAGCTAAATCAGCAACAGTATTATATCGATTTCGTTTTATTAATGATTGCTTCCGAGTGAATATGAACATAATTTTTCAAGTATTTTGTGTCAGTTTATTGACCAACAGGAAGGTTAAACACAGTAAATAATAAGAAAATGGTCACCTATTTGTAGGATGCAGTTACACATCCGGAAAAGTTCGTCTTGAAACCTCAGCTGGAAGGTGGAGGTGGTAATTATTATGGGAAGGAAGTTGCAGAAAAATTAAAAACAATGAGTAGGGATGAAATGGCGGCATATATAATTATGGAACGTATCACTCCGATGGTTGTTAAGGTGAAAAGATGTTTTGCATTGTTTATATCTGGGCTGATTTAAGTGTTTGTTTGAAATCATAAGCTTTCTAAAAGATAAAGAATAGATTTTGTGAGATATAAGATTTATAGTCACAGGAAATCAGCTAATCTTATTTCAGAATTACGTGATTCGACCACGGCAGGAACCGGTTCTAATGGATGTAGTAGGAGAATTAGGAATTTATGCTTATCTTTACGGGTCACCTGCTGTTGATTACATCCCAGCTGAGAATGTCATAACAAACTACGTTAGTGGACATATCATCCGGAGCAAGGATAAAAATGTCGACAAAGGAGGAGTAGCTATTGGTGCCGCAGTCATCGATTCGCCTTATTTGTTTTGAAAGATGTACAAGTGTTACAGCACGTATGTTAAGCTTTTGATTTTATCAAGCACCATCGGATACCGGTTATCAATCACTATCTTCTGAATCAAAGGCGGTGGCCAAAACATTTTTTCGACTTAGCTTGTTCAAGTAGAGGTAGTTTTTCCATTCTTTTGCACGTGTTTATGAATTTGGCAAAAACATAAAAAGTCAAAGAAGCTGGGATTCTGGAAAGCAACTGAGAAAACTTCTATGGGAAACATACCAACCAGAAAAAAATTGCTCGGTAGCCAGATTGACAAATCGAATGGTTTAAATTTTTAAGAATTTTGGTTGTTTCAATATTCTACTTTTCCACAGTTCACCTATCCAGTCCTTTCCTTTCGATTCTGTGATATGTTTATTGAATTCCATTTCGTAAAGAGATCAATATTTGAAAAGAATTTTGGCTTGCTTTCACTGTAATTTTATAATATCAATTAGTGTCACACTTCATTTGTTAATGTTTTATAAATTCTTGAGAACTATAATAACCAACAACAACTCTAAATTCACCGGGATCAATCTTCAGCATCAGAAAGCATTAAATCTTCCAGAACATCTTCGTCACCTTCATTAACCAGTATACTTTCAAATTTCCGCTTTGCTTGTTTCAAATTACTCTTTTTGATCTGGAAAAATACGTGCCTGCGACATTAACAGGAAAATTACATAAAACTTAAAAAAGTAAGACAAGTGCAGAAACTAATTTTCAAATTTAAAAGTGAAGGACTGAATCATTTTACAATTTTGAATCAATTTTGAATTTTGAATTCAATTTTGAAAATTTACAGTGAATCATTTTACAATTTTGATCAGTAAGATGCTTAGTGATCTATGCCATAAGCTGAAACTTTTCTTTGGGAAGTCTGTATGTGTCAATTGAACCTACTTTTTTGGTATTCACCACAACTACTGGTTTCGTTTTCATTGCCGCTGTTGCATTCTGTTCAAGATTTGGACGAGCCGGCTGCTGCACAGGTTTTACCTAAAGAAAGCAAGTTTTTTTTTTTTAATTCAATTGGTTTTTAGGCAGTCGCGAGCAGAATTTCTTCACTAACTCGGATTTCATTGTTTCCGAAGGGAAAGACAATTTGTCTATCCTTTCAGCATACAGGCGATAAGCAAATCGATAAAACTAACATCCACCGGATTTAATGCATCCTCTCGTAATTTCCACACCTTTTGCCATGAATTATAAAATTTTGTCAGTGGAGCATCTGGAGCTTGGAAGCGTCTCTCCAAGTGTTTCTATAACAAATAAGATCATCCTCCTCACCATGGTAACCCCTTTGGAACATAACAAAACATGCTCCTGTCCTTTACCTACTATGCCTATTGTTTCCTTCCACTCTTGCAAAAAGTAAGAAAGAATTATGGAACGTTACAGTGGGCTCCTTACATACCATTAATGTTACATTAATGCTCCATATTAACAAACCATTAATGCTACATTAGTCAGATCTACATCGGTACTATTCAAAATTCCTCTTGCATAAGCAGCCTGCTCCTGTAATTTTGTTTCCAACGATTTGAAAAGTCGTGAGAACTCTGTACTGCGACAATTCTTGACAAATGTTTTAATCTGAAAAACAGGAAACATAATCGGAAAAATATAGGTAGAACACAGATATTTCGACTATAGTTCGGCAAAAAAATTGATATCGCAATAGATTATTGATGCACGTTTTTGGGCAAAGGAAAATACTTCTGTTTTCTGTGTAGCCTTTACAACGAAAAATGTAGCATTAAAGAAACTGTAAGAAGTGAATTTTTTCCTATGCCATGTATCAGTCACTTCATGCCTTTAACTCTTTGATACATCCACTGCAATGATTTGCTTTCATTTCATATAAAATATAGTTGAACCTCATGATTTATGGGAATGACGATGTCCGCGAAGGCACAGCTTTGCTGCACGGCGTGCGCTGCTTCAAGATGTATTCTGAATAATTCTTGCAATGCTGCTTGACGAAATCCAGCATCATCAATATATGCAGTGGAGACATGAAAATTGCACATATTCAGGTTTTAAATAGGGTTTTTAATTGTGGTGACAAGAAACACACTATCATTATCCATAAAACATTGTCAATGATAGTTTTACGACGTGTAAAGAATTCATTTCAGAACAATGGGCGGATAGGTGAACTTGACAAAGCTGGAATCTTTCCTGCGAAGGGAGGAATTCAAATTGGAATTTTAACTGACTTTGGGAAGCATCAGAATTAATGGAAATGTTGACTAAATAAATAATTCCATCTTAATCCAAATCAAAATGCAACGTAAACACAAGACAGAATTATACCTTAAGCGTGCATCTCATATCGATGTTTTTCTGCGTTCCTTTTCCTTTCATGGGTTTCTTTTTCAGCATTAGGAGCGCATCAGATAGTAACTGAAATCAATGCTAATACCAACATCAATGAAGTTCAAGAAATACAGCAGTTTCTTATTGGTTTGAAGATCATTTCGACAGATGTTTTACTAAGTTCAGACAGCCATATGAGACTGTTTCCGATACCTGGGAATAAATTCCTTGGTTGTTACTTAGTATCTTTTTTATGTTCTGATCTCTTAAATCTTTGGCGTTGATTATCAAAGATCACCAATAAATCGTGAAGGACAGCAAAAGTGGTCAAAATTAGTAAAATCTATAAAAAATTTTGAAGCGTGACGAAATCTGCTAAAGCGAGGAGAGAACCGAAACATTAAGGATAATCAAATGCCAAACTGACACTTCAAAACAATAATCGAAGAATCAATCAACAATAAAATTAATTAATTGGTAGGAATTAATTGGCAAGAACCAATTAATAACTAAGAATTAATTGATAAAACACCTTCATGATTGCTGGAAAATAACAGTTAAAATTATGTCATCACAAAGTTCTTTTACACGAAGCAACACTACCAGAAAAAAACAATAATAAAGAAAAAGTGAACCTCAACGGCAAGTGACAAAGTTGGAATATACGTGTGACAATTCTGTTGAATGATGAGCAGTATCCGGAGGCAGTGCAGTCGCAATGGGAAATATTTTAGTGATGGAAAAAGTCTAGAAAAACGATTTTGCAAAAAAAAAAAGAAAGAAAAACAGACTTAGTTATTTCTCATTTTTTAATCTAAAATTATCCAATATGGGAACTATTGCTGAAAGATTCACTGCCAAAATGGTTCAAATCACTAAAGCTAAGCGAACGCAACATATCTCTCAACTAGTACAAGCGAAGCAATGATTAAAGGATGCTTTTGTTACACTAGATTTCAGATCTGAAAAATATTAATAAAAACATTAAAGACATACTTCATTGTGGAAATCGTAATCTGACATAATGGATAATCAAGTTCCTTGATTCCAGCAGTATCCTCCTTTTTGTTAGAAATATGACGATGAGCTTTAGCAATTACCTGACTCCACAAATACAAGCATTGCATGAATTGCCAGTTGTAAATAGTTTGGATAAGATCCTGAAATATTTACTGCGAAAGTTAGACTGGAAAGTGAAGCACCATTTTGGTTTTTCTCTCGTATCTCCGGTAATTATGTTTTCACTCGATTTATTTCAAGCGATAATTTTTAATGATCTATTTCGATCCCTTACTTCACTTAATCGGAGAATAAAATTTGAGTATCATCAGTCTACCATTTCTACCGTCACGGCAATTATGAATCCTCTCCAAAAATTCAGTAAGTGACCTTTCGCTTGGCTATCATTGCATTCCTAAGATGTATTGCCGTTTGCCTTATATACACAAAAGCATATTGATATGTTATTTCTGGATATGTCATACACAGTTCAGCGTAAGATTTCTGCATAAGTACAATCAGTGGCCACGATTCTGCTTTCACATCTCGAACATTCATTACATATTCCAAATAACATCTCTAAAGAAAATTTTTTTAGCGCAAAATATTATAAAATTTGATTTCCAATGCATCGTGCATTTTTTTAAAATTATAGACCATGATGAGCTCTATATCTTATTAATGTTCAAAATAACACATAAATGTATCATGCACTGTTACGCGATTTCACAGTTTTATAACGTCCTCTAAAAACGTTTTACTAAGTCACTTGACCAAACCATTACAACCATTACTGGAGACGAATTGCATTGAACAACTCGCCATGCATGGTTTAAAACTAATTAACAATCTCAAACCTTGATTAGTGCAGGAAAACTGTTTTTATGAATTCTGATTAGCTTAGACAGAGCCAAAAACGCTGCAATACGACATTCGTCCGTACGACGACTCCAAATTTTGATCACTGCCTGAAAATCAGTCAGTCCTCTTTAAAAAAAAATCATTCTTCAAATGTAACTCCAGAAGAAGAATGAAAAGTGTATAAATACGAATGAAGAGTAGGACGTTAAATTAAACCTAGAAATATACATAGATGAACACAGACAACTGAATAAAAATTGATTAAAAAAATATATGACAAATAACAGATAACCGAACCTTAATATCATGCGATCACGAAATGAGACAAACTTCAACTGACCTTTGTAAGATTTCGAATGAGTTTCGGGAAATGAATGTATAATTCGAGCAAATCAGTGATTGCACGCAGTGTACATACAGTGACACTTGGTGTCTGGATTTCGTTCAAGAACTGTAATTCAAAAAAATAAAAAGCTGTGGATCGCAAATCTGAAAGAACCAGAACTCTTAATTTACTAATTGCAAATCCACAATCTAAGTTAAATGTGTCGTCAACGTTTCTACTGTAATTTGATGTACAATACAACACTTTTAAAGCTGTTAAGCCATATTTTATTTTAATAAACAGTTTTTTATTTCCCTATAACGCCAACGACGGATAGGAGGATATGTCAGAGAAGCTAACACAGAAAAATATAAGCTAACTCCTCATCAGTAAATCTATTATTGCTACAATACATTGTGATGCCAGTGTGTAAAGGCATAGGTGCAACTGTCATAATTGCACCTCTATCTTGATACACTGGTATCATAATCACATAATAGCAATAATAAATTTGCAGCACGCAAAGTGTCAATTTCGTGGTGTTATTTTGTTGTGTTGCTGACTCTCCAATTGTGAATGACTAAAATGAATTACCTGTAAAAGGGCATGAAGATAGCTTTTTATTAAATTACCGTGCTTTTTCCAGCATCGGTATTGCTTTTTCTTATACTTCCCAACTTTTTTCAACTTTGGATCTGGCTCTTCATCATCCGCCTCGGTCTTGATATGATCTATTAATGTAAGTAGATATTTGCCTAAATATGTGAAGCACAATCGCACAACACCCTCAAATACATCACTGTCATTAATCACATAACTTGGCGGTTCAATATCAGCACCAACTCGAGCCACACATGCCGTAAATGCAGCAACCATTCGATGAATTACTATTGGTTCCGGCTGACCCTTTAAAAAAAAAATGCAAAACCATCTACAGTCCCATTAAATAAGGACATTCAGACATTCAATGAATTCCAATGATATGCCTAGCACTCTCGTCTGAAGAACAGTTCGGAAATGAGCTATACCGAACATGTGGTCTCTACATAACTTTTCAAGCATATTAAAAAAAATCGAACGACAGATTGCTCTATTTATGATCCCTCCGCAAGTAGTTAAGAGTGTAATGGAGAAATAAACTACGCAATTTAAAAAAAAAAAAAAAAAAAAAAAAAAAACCTTTTAGCAGAATTGCATTTTGCAAATTTGTTACAAAATCCAGATCGATTACTTTCCGTCCTGCTGAATCTCTCCTTAAATCTTCGTCTCCTTCGGATCTTTCACCTTCGCTATCAGCTTCTTTATGATGAGGATCTATAAAAATGGCAAACACGACGGGAGTTGGATTTTCTTTTTTAAAACGGCTTTAAGAATAGAAAATCAGCTTTAAATTACCATCAGCAATTCGGTAACGGGTAGATTTTTATGGGGAATTTAATGAAAAGCCCGCATATACCGTCATATACCTAGAATGCACGTCATAGTAATTTCAGAGAATAACGCTTCATAAAAATTATTAGAAAAAACAAACGCCCGAAGTATCGCGAAAGAATTTACCTTCTTCCACATCAGAATCCGATTCATCAAAGTGTAGTAAGTCAGATTCCTGTTCTTTTAGAAACTTGTAAAATTCCGGGTCTTTTTCAGCAAGTTCAACTAGCTGTTTTTTGTGACTCGACAGCGTTAAATCTTCTGTATCTGCAAGTAATAGGTCAGAAATGACTGACGAGAAACTTGTATTTCATAAGGCGGGAAGGTAGCCTAACTGAGGGCATTATGAGGGGTATTGATAAATCGAAACTTCTTAAACGATAGGTCTTAAAAGATGGTACCTTATGACTCTCAAAAGCTAAGGTTTCTGTCTGATAAGACATATAAATGGGGTGTCTGTGACTGTAATGATAAACTTTAATTATGGTAATCAGTACAAAAGAAGTATTTGAAATGTTGTCAAAAATTTACCGTCAAACTTTTCGTCTATTTCTTCGTTTTGCACCTTCTTTCTTCGTTTTGAGTGCACATGAAGTGTACCGTTTCCCTGTCTTTTTTGCGCTTTCGCATTGCTTTGATCCATATTACTCACGTCAGCCATTATGTTTAATGATATCAACGTGGTAAGACAGAACAGAAAATGGCACAACGATAATCACGGGCTTACACGTGTGAGCGCAATTATATACTGAAAACTTTCCTGCTGCCCGCGTCGCTTTTTCTCAATTATACTGCAAGCCATGCCGGAACGCGATGTCACATGCTGCTATACAATTTTTCCATTCAGATGCAGGAGAGGAGGGGATGGAGAGGCGGGTTACTTTGATTTGGTATTACTCTTGGGATTGAATTCGTCTCCGGGAATAATGGCAAAGTCTTCACTACCTAACATATGTCCATCTGACATCGCAAAACTTTGACAAGGTTCTCTTGTCCTACATGTCTCATCTCACCTTCGCATTGATAAAAAACTTTCAGGAATAGTTCAAATTAATCCTGTAAACGTGTTGGGATAGATGTACAAAAAGATGAATAAGGTCATTGCACTCTGCTATCGACGCTGCATTAAAAATGAAAATCCAGTTGAGACAATAGCGCCTTACTCCGAATCGATTTAAATTTCCTGAAAATCTCCTTGACACAGGTAACTCCGATAACCACTGGGTTACTTTGTGCTGCTTCAATAAATTTATGAAGAAAAAAAACGAAATCTAAAGTGGAATATAAGAAAACGGATAGCATTACTTTGATATTATGTAAATGAGGTTGGATATACATAAAATATATTAAAAGGCCCGGTAAACTCATAATTTTATTGTTGATCGGTGGATATTTATGGCTGTTTCTGTTAAGTTAGTCTTATCATTAGATGTCCATCATTAGATATCCATTTCCAATTCGGGTAGTTTCGGTTATCTGTCACGTCAGGACTATTTAAGTACTGCAGCTACAGATATGAACACTTTTTCGTGATAATTCAAATTTCGTATTACTTAATTAAGTTTACTGAGTACGTAAACAAAATAACGGATGGTCCATACACGCAAAAAATGGAGCGTATTTTGATGCCCAGGAACAATGTTCCGATTTCAGAGCTGATCGTAGTTATCATTCCGGAACGACATATGGCCACGATCAATAAATAGAATAATGGGGTGCATCAGGGAACGAAAAAGAACTAGGGATACGATTTCATAAGGTCGTAAGATGCAATGTACGCAACATATGATGCAATGTACGCAACGGAGAAGGAGAAAATGGTAAGTTGAACTTCCTTTGGCCAAACAAATAGAGGTCCCACTGCTGGCGCAAAGCAAGCCATGACGCAAATCACTGTTCGCAAACATCATCCTTACCAGGATGAACATAATGAAAACCAACTCTATCCCTAACAGGACACTTAACAGGAACCAATTTTCAAGGTACACGTCTACCACCAACACCATGACAACATTCCTTTGGCCAAAATTTTTTCTCATCCTTAACCACTTCCCTCCCAATATCTAGTCACAATAAATCCATCTGCCGATACGAATACAAAGTTACACAAATCTGCATCATACCCCTATAAGCCCCACAATTCTTCATCGAGGATTTGATCCCAAGAATTATTTCTTTTCCATAAGTTTTGGAGAAATAGTTTGAACTGGATCATTGCGGGGGACTAAAAATCCCAAAGGATCATATTGCGAAGCAACAAATTGCAAGACACTTCGTTTGGTGAGTTCATGTTCGATCCATGGTTTCAGCGTTACTCTGATTGTATCTTTATCGTTTATCCAAGTGATGTGAAAAAATTTTTATCGAGTCGTTTAGATTTAGGTTTAGCCTTGAGTTAGGATCAAGCAGGAATTTAATTAAAGGGTTACCTTGTGAGGATATCGAATACACGTTATGAGGACACAGAGTAAAAATTACTGCTTTATTGAATATAATACAGAGCTGATCAGTGGGATTATTGAAGAGTAACGAGTAGGAAATCGCTCGACTGTGAGTCAAACGCAATCGTAAGTAAAGCACTATGGAAGAGCACCAACCCAAGAAGCCTTTTTTCCAAAAGGGCTTATGTGTATAAAGAAGTAGGAGTGATTTATATAAAACGTTAAAAAAGGGTATTCATTTAGATACAAAGGAAACTGTAAAGATCCAATTACATAATAAATGTTGTAACAAGATCAAATGGGAAGATTAGCATGTAAATTGGACATCCTTTGTCAAAAAAATAAGATGTGAATTTTTGTTAGACAAAGATAACAAAAGAAACGTATGGGAGATAATTTTAAAGAATGTAAATTGGTAAATGAATGCAGTGATGAATCATTAGAAATATTCTATGCATTTAATGTATAAATTCTTTCGGGTTTTCCGACAAATGATGCCAAGAATTTTTGTTGCACCTCCTTCGATTCTGTCTTTGTTTCGGTATTGTCTTATTGAAGTTGTGGTCATTGGATAGAAATTCGCGAATATTCATCGCCGCCTTCTTGAAGATATCCTTCACTTCAGGATATTTACTTATGGCTTCCCTTGTTCCATTTAATATCATTTACCAAGAGGCATTTACCAAGAGGAACCTGTCGGACTGATGCAGTTACAATTGTAAAAATGTCTTCTCGACGTCGGCTATGATTACATTCTTCATCATTCGAAAGCACAATAGTATTCCTACTAAATCTAGAAACATGATAGGTCCGCGATATAGGACTTCGTTTAAACTTTTGTTCCCTTGAGATGCGCCGAAGCATCATGGACTATCCTGAGTTTTGTTATAGGTTTGTGTGGGCATATTATTTCATGATGAGATAGATAGAGAATTATACCCTCTTGATCCATATCAGGATGAACTTCCTCAATTATGCCTGACCGCAGTTGATCTTGAATCGTTTCGTTGTACCGTCGAAGTATGTCTTCATTGTTCTGAAGTCTTCTGATCGAGGTTTTAAGACGTCCGAAACATAGTCTATAATGGCTTTTTAGTTTATCCTTTGAGTCTTTCTAAGGCCAGGAAACTTGGTATCTCCCGTTTTGTTTCATTATACAAAATTGCTGAAGGAATTGAAAAATTACTTTTCTTAAATTGTTCATGGGCTTGCTCATCATCGTTCTGGTTCAGCTAGTCTTGGTTTTTTCCACCAGTTTTAACTTCCAAAACTGGTCGATGTCATCGTGGCTCGTTACGCTAGCTATGCATGATACGGTTGAATATGCATGATGCAATTTCGATATAATTTCGCGTTATGACTTTCGAAGTTTCCCCGATAAAGATGGTTAACTTTTATCGCTAATGTTAGAGGATAGCATAGATTCTGATTGTATTACTGTATTCTTCTGAGAAATCAGGTATGTTCAGATAAGTCCCAAAAGATCACTGGGAATTAAATGAAATATAATAATAAATTATACAGTGGTTCATCTTTAATATTAAAAAGTGAACAACAAAAGATGACAGTCATATAAATAGTTTCATGTGACATAATGATGCTCGATATATTTATATGATTTAGTGATACTTCTTGAATAGTTTTATATGATGCAATGATACTCGATGTATTTATATGATATAATGATGCTTCTTGTTCTAATAGTTTCATATGATATAATGGTAATTGACTGCTTTATCATTAAACTTTTGAAAATCATTAATAACTAGCACAAATAGATATCCCAATTACATGATTCCGGTAAGGAATCGTCTGGTAAGAAGCAACTTTAAAACGAAGCATTCCTTTTTTTTTTATAATTTTTAAAAACAGTTGTATAAAGTTTGCACGTGAAGATGTACAGCTGAATCTCGCACGAATCAAACTTTTACTTACCAATAATAGCAAACGACTGGTAGAACGAGTCTTAAAGGTCTTAACAAAAATATACAGGTAAAAAATATTGGAAATGAAAAAAAACCATTCCTTTAAATTTCATGTTTCATCTGATATGATTGATAAGATCCGCATGATTTCGCTGGCACAGTGCTTCTTTGCATCAATCGCATTACTCAATTAAGCATAACCTCCTATACAAAACTGTCACATTTTTGTTCGCAAATACTTCTCATTTGATGGAAAGTGGTGTCGTTGAGGTGACATTGTTAGCCCGATTTCACATTCCTTATGTTCCCAAGTAATGTTTTTACATGTTCCACAACATTAAGTCCGCAACAATGATTACTGTCGGGAAAACTCCGAAAATCATAATGCAAATTTTCTGCCGCAAATACTTCTCATTTGATGGAAAGTGATGTCGTTGAGGTGATATCGTTAGCCTGATTTCACATACGGAAATTAAAGCTACGT